AGCAGATCTCAATCACATACATACAATGTACATTGTAGTCTGATAAATGGTTGGCTTCCTTGAATTTTTTTTAAAACCATGTAAAATTTTAATATGGCGGCCATAGAAAGTTAGAACATTAATTTTAACAGCGCTTTAATGCCTTACCATGCCATATGGGGAACTATTTAAAGTACAAAAAAAATTACGGGTAGTTAAAGCTAACTATTGGAAATAATATGTAATGTTTAGATTAGATAATAGTATATTATGTATCAAGTTTAATAAACGCCATTTTATACACGAATTTAATTTACTAATGAGTGTATAGAAAAGTTTATAAACGAGGTGCATACTATACTTTTTCTACGACAAATACTTATTATTATCTTAAAATGATTTAAATCAAATATTTTTATAGAGCGCCATCTATGAAACAATAGGGGAATCTGTGTGTCAAATGCCAAATTTTTATAGTTTATAAACAAGGATTATAAATCGAAATGTATTTCTTGAAAATGGACAGTTTTTTACAGTGAAAGTAAAGAAAATGTTTTATGAGCACTTTACAGTACAATGTTCATATAAACTTTTCAAATATTGGCGTTGAGAAACTATTTAATACTTTTGTATTTTTGTATTGAGATAATAATTTAGTAATATTTTACAAGAAAGGCACTTTATTTTAACGATTGTATGACATTTGACAACTGTCAATTAACTTTAAACTAACTTCAGCCCATGACAAAACGCCGTAAAGCCACAACTTGTCAATGTGTATTTAAAAGGTGGGAGTAGAAAAATAACTAATTCTGGATTTCCTGACTTTGTTAATTTTAACAAATTTTAATTTTTTTCTTCGATACGCCATTAAAAATATTATCTTTTTAACATAAATATTTGTTTGTAAAAATTAAAATGAAGAATATAAAATTTTAATTTTAAACCATTATAACTAAAACTACCTTTTTTTTACTTAAAATCACCAACAAAACCATACAAAACATCAAATTCTGAGAAACGCATTACGTTTAGGTATTGAAATTTTGTTATAGAAATATTTTATATAGAAACCAAACATGTAGGTAAATTTCAATGATTTCAGTATCTTTAAATAAAGAAAATTTAATTTAGTTTTTTAACTTCCTATTTTTCTACGATAATTATAAGTGTAAATATAGGGTGGTCCAACAGGAATCTTCAATTATTTAAGAGTCAGTACAAAATAATATTAATCTTCTTAAGAAACTATACCGAATACTCAACACTTTTAAAAATACAAGGTGTTAAAGTTGCAAATATTAAAAAAAATGTCTTTATTTTATTGAAATTTGTGGCGTTACTAAAGGGGTGATAATATATCTTTTTAGAGAAAAAATTATCTTATTTTTAAAATTAGCAGTCAATTTATGAAGTTTATTAAGAAAATTAATAATATTTTAAGGTTTTTAATGATTCCTATTTTTTTATTTATTGTTTATCCAAAACATCTACCTGTGTTTTTTTTTGGAAATACATTTGTACATTTTTGTATATTTTGTATATTTTTATAACTTTTTCAAAAATGGCGAATGCGTCGGGATTAATTATTGCTCCCGGCCCATTCACCATTTATTTAAATATTGTTTTTTGTAAACAGTTAAGCTTCATAGGTTTTTAATATTTTTTGTATTTTTTAAAACTGTTCATCGTCTTACATAAACTTAACCTTTTTTACACTTCACATTTTGTCATTTTATACCGTATAAAATAACAAAATATTAATTTATTATTATACGAGAGCTCTCGAGATAATGCCCATAATCTCTAGTGTAATACTATACTTTATCTACTACTAATATAATTAAATCATTATGAACGAAAAAACCCAATATCATTAGTAGATAAAATTATTTTTGCCAAATGCAATAATTAACAATAATCAATTTCTTAGCAATAAATAACTTCAAATAAATATTTCCTAATTAATTTTTTTGTAATTGGTTAAATTTTGTAATATAAAGGGTTGGGTTGGGTTTTTAAATCGAGAGTTTGGTCTTCTGATACTGTCAGTTATATTAAGTAAGGTGTGCAATTTAATCATGGAAATATACGTCTAATATCAAAATATCGTGCACTTTTTTCAAATTATGGTCGTCATTTCATTATTTTACTTACAAAATAATATTTTTGATCTAATAAGAGAATAACTTAATATAAACAATATAAATACCACAAATTTACGTTTCTTCCTAAAACATTGACATTCGTAATATCTTTGTTCTTTTAATTTATATTTTACAAAATGGTACTTACAAAGTAATAAAATCCACCTTACAGTAAAATTAAAAAATATAACCTAAATTGTCAAAACTGATAATATTTTGCATTAAAACTTAAACGCACATTATTTTATTGATCAAAATAGGCACGATACATCTTAAATATTATACGCCCTCTAAATATTTTACGGTTTTAAGAAAAATTATTGCTTGGGTAAAAATTCAACAACACTTAAAACCTACAAAATTTTATAAAATCTTTTAAAAATCATTTAGATTTAATCATTTTTTAATAACTAAAACTTTATATTATATTTAAAAAATATATTTATGAAAAAATATTATATAAATGTTTGGATCAGTAATGGATGCCGTCTTAAATAACTCATTATGGCGACTTGAAATAAAGTTTTATTTTTCACTTGAGGCTTATTTTTCCTTGTTTAGTCAATATTAATAGTATTTATTACCACTAATATACCTAAAAATACCAGCAAATTGGAATTATTTACGGTTATAAAGTAGTGGTCTTAATATCGTAAAATTATGACTTATGAGTAACATTTAGCATTAAGCAAAAATTTTGACATTAAAATTACCGTTAAATTTTCCTTTAGGTAAAATACACTTATAAGTAATTTCTTTTCGTAGAAATTACGTCCCTCATAATACTTAAAAATAGTTAAAAAATAACATAAATAAAACTTATTAAATAACTTAAAAAATTTTTACTACAAAGTAAATTTTTAAGGTTAATTTAACAAAATATGTACTTACTAGACTGGGCCAAAAAAAATTACTATTTTTTTTTTAATATATCGAGAATGTCATTTAGAATGACAAAAAAAAAATTCGTGAAAATTTGAGCCCTTAATATTAATTTTAATCATCGCTATTTTTGATTTTTAGTCATAATTTTGTTGTTTTACGTTAGAACTGTCAAAACATTAAAGTGAAAAAAAATCCTTTTTACTTATTTTTATATAAAATAAAATTATCTACAAAAAAGGTCTAATTGAAAATTTTCGTAATTTTGTAACTAATGAATCAATGAATATTTAAAAAAGCTCACGTCGGATTCTTAAAGGAAATTTATTGTTCTACAAAAAAGGTCTCTTAACATTTTTGCCTAAATTTAATTCTTCAAAAGTTATTCACGATTAAAATCGAAGAAAAACTAAAAATTTCAATTTTTTCTTCGTGAATAACTTTTGAAGAATTAAATTTAGGCAAAAATGTTATGAGACCTCTTTTGTAGAACATTAAATTTCCTTTAAGAATCTGATGTGAGCTTTTTTAAATATTCATTTATTCATTAAAAAGTAAAAAGGGCAAATCGTAAAAAGGGCAAATCGAAAAACACATCGATTTATTAAGCTTAATTACTCGGAAACGGCCCGTCTGACGAAAATTTTCAATCAGGCCTTTTTTGTAGAGAATTTAATTTTATATAAAAATAAGTAAAAAGGAATTTTTTTCACTTTAATGTTTTGACAGCTCTAACGTAAAACATCAAATTATGACTAAAAATTAAAAATAGCGATGATAGACCTCTTAAAATTAATATTAAGGGCTCAAATTTTCACGATTTTTTTTTGTCATTCTGAATGACATTCTCAATATACAGGGTGTTATGTAATTAATGTTATATATTAAAAAACTGAATACCTTTTGACATAAGGAATAAAGGAAAAATATTTAAAAAAATATTTTTCCAAAGATAAAGAAAAAATATGCATTAGAAGTTTTTTTATATTTTTTGTGATACGCCACTGGTTACACACTTGGTTTATCTCTGCACACTTGTATTCTGTGAGTACATAGATACCAACCAACAAAGTAGCTATGCGTTGCCAGATGTAAAAAATTGTTAGTAAAAATTTTTCTTGCAAAAAATAAATAAAAACTCAATAAATACAAAAGTTTTATGCCCTTAAAGCTCTAATACCCTTCTGTATTTATTAACTCATCCAGCTATTAGCTTAAGCAATGATTAGAAAATTTAGTACCTATTTTAAAAAATCCATAACCACAAAATTAATTTTTTTATCAGTTTTTTTCTTTCTGTACTCAGATGAAATTGGGATCAGTTAAACTTTAAACATTTAATTTGTGTAAATAAATCCAAAAGCACTTCCCTTAGTTAAGATATTTACAATTTGAGCACATAATCTAAAATTTGAAAGAAATACACTAGATTCTGTCATAAAAGTTGGCAGATTTTGTTTGAATTTACCTTCAGTACAAAAATGACATAACCAACAATTAATAAAAACGCCAAATTGACAATTTTCGTTGTTAATTTTGTCATTTTTGTAATTAAGCTAAATTTAAACAATGTTTGTCAACTTCTTTGACAGATTTTGGAAACACTGTTGTTACCAACCATAACATAATAAATTAAATTAGGCAACCAGAATAGCCTAAAGTTGCTAGTCGATCAGTGGCGTACTTTTTGGTAGGAAAAAAGGTTATTATAAATTATTTTTAGACAACCCATTTTAATATATAACATTAATTACATAACACCCTGTATTTTTCAACAAAAAAAAAATTAGTCAATTTTTTTGGCCCAGTCTAGTACTTACATTAAATAATATTGCCTCAAAGCTTTACTCTTTTACTTAAAATGCTTCTTGGGTGAGGCCCATTATTTCTTTTACTGTAAAATGTATTAAATGCGTTTTTACCCGCAGAATTATACTTTAGAGCACCTTGCGGCCCTCGAAAGCAATCCATCATTGACCTGTCCGTACTTACAATGTATTTCTATGGACGTGGTGGCGGACACCGGTTGACTGATGTTGTTGTTCGACGCCTGGCAAGTGAACGCGGCGTGCTGATCGCTGCGATGCAGCTTGCGGACGACAAGCTGGTTGGAGCGGACGTACGGGAATCCGCTATCCATCTGGGTGGACTCGATGAGTTTTCCTTCGCGCCACCACTTTATCGCCGGCTCCGGCTTACCTGCAACACAAAGCCGCCCGTTTACTTTCAAGTCGATGCGGAAGGTTCCCCGACCGCTATGCATATTCATCGATTGCACCGAGATTCAATCTGCACGCCCTTACGTTAAATTTGAACTTTGCAGAGCACCTGACCTTATCCAAGGACAATCTTTCTCGGTAATGCTTCTGAAAGCAGTCATTAGTTAAATTAATTACATCCAAATTAAATTAATTTAAAATTTAAGGATTTGTTTTTGATATACAGTTTTTCTATAAAAATATCACTTTTTTGGTAATAATTACCTTATTAAATTAAATCTGATTTTTTTTAAATACCCACGATTTTTTAACTACACTCACAGAGTGGCAAAACCGTATATTGTTCTAAATTAAGTTTTAATTATCAAGTCACATCTATTTTTAACAGGATTTTTTAAAAGAAACATTGCAATTTCCAATATTTTCCAGTATGAAGAACTAAGGTTGCTATGGTCCATCCATAGTCTATGGGGGATGACAGTGACAGTTTTGTTTAATCATCCCATACTTGAACATGTCATATACATCTTTCAAAAGCTATCAAATTGTTTTTTGTAAATTAATGTGGTAATTTTGAGGTGTCTTCTTACTTTTAAAAATGTCTCCGACTGATGTTGCCCTTTGTACTTTACTTCTTGTGACGTTTAAAACACTTGCCACGTAATACTGTGACCGTCCATCCTGGATTAAATTAATGGCTCTGGCAACATCAGTCGGAGACATATCCATTTTTTAAAGTAAGAAGACACCTCAAAATTTAAACATTAATTTGCAAAAAACAATTTGATAGCTTTTGAAAGCCGTGTATGACATGTCATACGACAAGTATGGGATGATTCAACAAAACTGTCACTGTCATTCTCCATAGCCTATAGATGGACCATGCAACCTTAGTTCTTCATACAGAAAAATATTGGAAATTGCAATGTTTTTTTTTAAATCCATATTTTCCACAAAAATAAATATATCGAGGTGAACCAAAAACAAAACTGTTAAGAGTAGATGTGACTTGATAAATAAAACTTAATTTAGAACAATATACGGTTTTACCACTTTACAGAGTGTCTTAAACTTATGGTAAAAAACATCTTCTTGTTTAAATCTGTATATTATAAACGTACGCCTATTTTTTAGCAATTTTAAAAATGTGAGCGATTCTCCATTAATGTATCTACAACATTCTTTGTTTAAATCCAAAATCAAATAAAAAAGTTATTTGCGATTGAAATTTATGAAAAATTTGTGTGGATCGATTATTTTGCCTGTGAGTGTAGTTAAAAAATCGTGGGTATTTAAAAAAAAAATCAGATTTAATTTAATACGATAATTATTACCAAAAAAGTGATATTTTTTATAGAAAAACTGTATATCATCAAAACAAACCCTTAAATTTTAAATTAATTTAATTTGGATGTAATTAATTTAACTAATGACTGCTTTCAAAAGCATTACTGAGAAGGATTGTCCTTGGATAAGGTTAGGTGCAATTGTCCATTAATTTATCTACAATATTCTTTAATATTCGTTTAAATCCGACATCAAATAAACAAGTTATTTGCGATTGAAATTCATCGAAAATTTGTGTGGATCGATTATTTTGCCTGTGAGTGTAATATTTAAGTTTCCTTTGGTTTAAGTTTTATACATTATTTCATTCGGTGATAATTATCAAATGCGCACCATGGTCACTTTTTACCTGCCAGCATTAAATCCTTTAATTTGAAGGATTATTGTACAATTTTTTATAAAAATACCGCATTTAAGTCAAAAAAAACATTATTTTGTCAATTCATTAATTTAATCCTAATTGAGGTATAAAAATGGTATTTAGTTATAAATAATAAATATTATTGAGGTATAAAGAAATTATTTATACATAGTTTAGCAACAGCGCCATCCATTACAAAAATGAAAAAATGTTTTAGACAAAATCTACCTATAGGTATATATAATTTTAGTCGAATGATCTGAATGGGAAATCCGAGAAAGAAATATATGAATATTATGATTTTACAAAAACGAAATATAAAAAATACCCCAACAGTATGTAATAACTATGGTTCATGTGTCCAATTACTATATAAAATGTCCAATTACTATACTTTTTTGCATGTTTTTATAAAACTAATATTAAAAATGCAAATATTCCTATTTTTAAGTAAACGTAAATAAAGTTTGAACAAAGAAACTATCCATTTTATATATTCATAAGAAAAAAACTAAAATCTTTAAAAAATTATTAAAAAAATAATCACATATTATATCACGAGAACTATGAATTTAATCGGTTAAACTAGGCTCAGTAGTTTTTTGTTTGGTTTTTATTGGAAAATGTTGAATTCAAAATAATTATTTTGCATAAAACTACCTATTTTCCAAAAAGAAAAATCAAATAAAAAACTTGCTGAGCATAGTTTGACAGATTAAATTTATAGGTTGAGTGATAAACGTCTAGATTATTTCTTGAATTAAAGGAAACTATTTGAAAAATCTGACGTATGTGTCAAAATTTATAAATGGGTAATTCTTTTACAAACCGAACACCTTTTGACCGACACATCTCAGATTTGGCTGAAACTTTTTTTACGGATTCTATGTCGAAAAATAAGAGATACGTGTCCGAGGATTTTTTTTTCTCTAGCATATTTTCGATAATGCAAGCTATCGAAAATTTGAGAATAACGAGTTTTTTGGCTTGGAGACTCATTTTCAAAAATTTATAACTGTAGTTCTATTTGAGCTACAAACTTCTTTTTTTTTCATTTTAAAGCTAAAGGACTAAATTTTAATATAAAAATATTTTTAATAAATATTATTAACAAATTCATATTGTTATTAACAATTTCATTGTTTAAATCAATTTTTAACAATGGCCCCCACCTCGTATTAAATTTTTATTATTTTTATCGTATTCTCCGTCAAATTTTACATGAAAAACATGTTTTTAAAATATGGTAACTTTATTATTACTATTGTTAAAACATTAATTTATATTGCGCGACACATAAAAAAACGATTTTTTGTTAATAAAAAGAAAACTATAGCTCGGATCAAAAAAAGTCAAATATAAAAGTTGTAGATAATAAAAAGATCTACAATTTTTATTTTAACTATTTTTGGACATAACCTCACTTTTCAAATAAATTAAAAAATTTCAATTTATTTGAAAAGTGAGGTTATGTCAAAAAATAGTTTAAATAAAAATTGTAGACCTTGTAATTATCTACAACTTTTATACTTGACTTTTTTTGATCCGAGCTATAGTTTTCTTTTTATTAACAAAAAACCGTTTTTTTTATGTGTCGCGCAATATAAATTAATGTTTTAACAATAGTAATAATAAAGGTACCATATTTTGATAACATGTTTTTTATGTAAAATTTGACGGAGAATACGATAAAAATACTAAAAACTTAATACGAGGTGGGGGGCATTGTTAAAAATTGATTTAAACAAGGAAATTGTTAATAACAATATGAATTTTTTAATAATATTTATTAAAAATATTTTTTTATCAAAATTCAGTCCTTTAGCTTTAAAATGAAAAAAAAAAGAAGTTTGTAGCTCAAATAGAACTACAGTTATAAATTTTTGAAAATGAGTCTCCAAGCCAAAAAACTCGTTATTCTCAAATTTTCGATAGCTTGCATTATCGAAAATATGCTAGAGAAAAAAAAATTCTCGGACACGTATCTCTTATTTTTCGACATAGAATCCGTAAAAAAAGTTTAGCCAAATCTGAGATGTGTCGGTCAAAAGGTGTTCGGTTTGTAAAAGAATTACCCAAATATTGTTTTAAAGAAAATTCCATTAATTTAAGGTATGTAATAAGTAATAAGTGATATTTCGTAAACTAGATAACTTATTTTTTATTGTTTTTTAAAAAATGTTTGTTAAAACTTGTAAATAACACCATAAAATCGTAAACAAAAATCCAATTTGGAGGCTAAAATTTAATCGCTGTTAAATAGTTCTAGTGATTTAATCGCTTATTTAAACGAAATTTATTCTAAAATTCAAGGCTTTGGATTGGTTCATATTATAATGAGGGAAATAATCACAATAATAAAATTGTATTATGACCAAATTTATATAAAAAGTTACTAAAATTTGGAAGTTGACGAACAAGCAGGGGCTCAAAGGAAAAACAAAAAATAAATAGAAAGTTATTGTGTGCGAACGGGTAAACGAAAAAGTAAATTTCTTTAAAGCTCATGCTAACGGGTCTCACATGTAGCGTCGAATAGAAAACAAATAAAAAGGAACATTTCGTTTGCTCCCTTTGGAATGCAAAGCGGACACAAAATCGCGCCTAGACGGGCACACGAGGAAAACACTGCTAAAAACTACCGCCACCGACTTGCTTTGATACGATATAGAAACGGGTAAGAGAATGCGGTTTATTCTACACATTTCTTTTAAATTAACAGCCACGACAGACATCATTTACATTGCTAAGCGTTCACTCTTTTGCCTTTTATTAAATCACAATACACTTTTACCCTCCATGCGAACTCTTGTCTGTTTTAATTTAATAATACCCACTCCTCATTCTATAACAAACCTTTAATACTTTAACTTAACAAACGTAGGTTATTCTACTAAAGAGCAAAATAAAAAAATAGTTTATAAAAACAATATTTCAACGAGTTTACTTAGAAACTTGAACAAATTAGTGTCCAAAATCAATATCATTTTTATAAATAAATATAAGTGTAATTATAATTAAATATTTATACAGGGTGTAATGTAATTAATGTTATATATTAAAATGGGTTGTTCCTTAGGGTCCATAAAGAAGCACCTGAAACTTTTTTTTTCTAAATTCCAAAGTCTAAAAATAATTTATAATAACCTTTATCCTACCAAAAAGTACGCCACTGATCGACTAGGAACTAGGTTAATCTGGTGCATTTATTATGTTATGGTTGGTAACAACAGTTTTTCCAAAATCTTTCAAAAAAGTTGCCAAGCATTGTT